CAGGAAATTAATACTTTCTTCCAGTTAACAGAAAGGCAGGTGAAATGTCTTAGGCTACTGTGGACTTTTGACTCATCTGCAACTAAGTGCCCTGGAGAGCTGTTAAATGGGACCCCCACCCCATTTCTTTTTATCCTCACACAACAAGAGGAGGAGAACCTCAGGTTTCAAAGTTGCAAAAGTCAAACAGGAAGTTCCTAAGCAGTTCTGCAAAGGAGTGGCAGTAAGAGGGGTGGGTGTGCCAGGAGAGGTTAGAAGTGAAAAACAAAAGGCCAGGGGATTTCTGAGCTCAAGAGAAATAGTGGTTTCTCTGTCATCACCACAGCTTAGCCATATAACTAATGCTATTTATTAGTAGTAAGTAATTGGTGCCATGACTGAGGAGACAGGACAGCCTGCAGATTCCAAAACAAATCCAAATACTTGTAGGCTGTTTGCTGGATTCAAATAAGGTTATTTCATCACAAATTTCACTATTTTGAACTCTGCAGAAACACAAAGAAGCTCTGTGTTGTACATTCAACAGAAGCTCTCAAAGTAGCTTTTTGGGGCACTTATGTTCAGGGGTACTTTTATAAGAAATAGGAAAACAAAAGAGAATTTATAGTTATAGCTATAAGCTAAGTGAAATCATGCTATAATTATATATTCTTTCTGTAAAAACAAAGCAATGTATCACTGATAAAAACTTGAATATGATGCTTTAATACATAGAATATAGTTGCTCAAAACACTAGCACATTCTTTGGTATTCTCTACTGCTGCAGTTTCCAGGACAAACTCTGTGTCTTCTGGTATCTCTAAGTCCAGCTGTTCATCAAAGGGAGAAAAAGTAGGCAAACAGGTCAAGAAAGAAAAACAAAAAAGCCAAAATTGGTTCCTAACCATTAAAAACTTCCAGTCCTTGCAGCACAGGTACTACTTGGTGGTATTTAAACATGTGGAAAGAGAAAGGAAATAGCTGCCCTGAGGTCTCTGGGTCAGACTGTTGTTGCTTCCCATGGGCTTGCTCAACAAGCAGACCTAATAGGCTCAGTAAGTAATTGCAACACCGAACTTAAAAATGAAACATGCAGTGGCTCACGCCTGTAATCCTAGCGCTTTGGGAGGCCAAGACAGGAGGATGGCTTGCAGCCAGGAGTTCAAGACCAGCCTGGGCAACATAGCAAGCTCCCATCTCTACAAAAAATTTAAAAATTAGCTGGACATGGTGGTCTGGTCCCAGCTACTGGGGAGGCTGAGGCCAGAGGATCATGTGAGCCCAGGAGTTTGAGGCTGCAGTGAGCTATGACTGCACCACTGCACTCCAGCCTGGGCAACAGAGCAAGACACTGTCTCTAAAAAATAAAAAAAAAACTAATAAATTGAAATTTGTTAATTCATATTTTTAGAAAGATCTTAGTTCAGTGGATGTCTTCTATAACTGCAATGCCTTTCAGAGCTTTACAACTTTGCAAATACCCCTTAACCAAATGGCTGAACTTTTCAGCTATAATAGGAAGCTTCTTTAGAATCCAGGAAATTCCACCCAGGACAATACCAATAAATACTGAAATGAATAAGAGTGTTTAGTTTCTGCATCCCCAAGTCTTACAGGGATTGCTTGCAGCTAATTCTCTAATTCTATAACCTATAGTCTCTCTTCTTGAAAGGGATTTGTATTAAATGGCAAAAAAATAGACCATTTATCCTTATTTTTTTTTTCCCATCCAAAAAGGTCAGTCATCAACACTAAAGCTCAACTCTTCTCTCTCCAACCTCTCAATCAATCACCAAGTGATGTCAATTCTTCCTCCCCAGGAAGGCTTGGATCATGACTCACTTTCTGGAGAGGTAAACAAGCCGCTTCAGATACAGGCCTTGGCTGATTAGCACCATTCTTACGTCCACTCTCTGAGCAATCTTCCTACCTATTCTATCCCTCTCAGGTACCTTCTAGAACAAAGAGAATTCCCTTTTCCTGGTAAATCCTATAGGAAAGGGGCAACCTTATGGGTGGCACTTTCTGATCACAGCCACAACCCGCAATCGTCTCTTCCCTTCCCCATTTCAGCCATTTTGATCATTCAGGATGTATTCTTGCAGGAAGGTAAACTACAGTTCAACATTTGAGGAAGTGGTGCAGTACAACATCTGACAGGAATAGGGGTGAGAGAGACGTGGCAAGACAACGTTAGTGGCTTAGCCTGGGAACAGATGGATGTATCATAACTTAATACACTGTAGGGAGGTAGTCTGGCATTGTGAGCTCTGGAGTCAGACTACCTGGGTTCAAATACAGGCTAAGGTGATATGGCCCTGGGCAAGTTGCTTAATCATTCAGTGCCTCAGTGTCCCCATCTATAATATGGAAATTATAGTGCCTACCTAATAGGTGCCTACCAAATAAGTCTGAAAAGCACACATCACCCAAACATTGAACTGTCACTACCTCTAGGGAATGAGAGAATGGTGGTGGGGAGGAGCTGACATTTTTATGCAGGTCTTTGCTTGAATTACCACACATATATTACTTTTGCAACTAATTTTAAAATTTTAAACATTTTAAAGTACCCTTCCTCGCCCGCAAACTGAACATCTCTCATGTTCTATTCTAGGAAAAGATAAACTTAAAGATAAGGAAACAGAGGCCCAGAAAAGATGAAGTAGAGCCCTGTAAGCTCTCTGCTTCCTATATGTTTCATTCCAGATGCCCATACATTCTTTACAGCCTTTGGCACGTCATACATCTACCATAGGCATCCAAATATTCTGAAATGGTTATTTTCTTTCCTTCCCTTCATGCTCATCTGAGGTTTTTCCTTTTATTGTGTCCAAGTAAGTAGCTTCCAGCTTCAGTATTTTAATATCTTCCTTTCATAACTTTCTCATCCTGCTTGTCTTTCGGGCCTTCAGTCAGGCGCCTTTGCCCTGGGAAACTCACTGGAGTGGCCCCTCTACACAATTATAGGACAGAGGATGCCTTCAGGTTGCTTTCTGTCGTGCAAGAGTCCAAATGGGCTTTTAAACAGTGTTTTTATTTCAACCAAGAAACAGTGCGTGGTATGTTTTGGCAGGCACTTTTTCCTCCCCTAGGTCTTTCCTTATACAGGTGTTTATTGTTGCTTTGGCCTTCTGGTGGAAGTTATCATGCTATTTTGTACCTTCCCCACCTCCACCGTTCTCTTTCCTGCTTGTCTTTCATTGTGTTAATTTTTACTATTTCAGCTCCCATCATGCTCACTTCTGTCTCCTCGGTGCCTTTCACACTCCAGTCGTCTGTCCCCATTAATACACGTTTTCTATTTCAGCCCGTGGAGAAACTCGTTTATAGAATGACGCGGGAAAGAGAAAAGACTAGAGATCCTAGGCAGAGCGGCTTCCAAGCCCTCTCTCGCACCGGAACCCCGGCGCCGGGAACCCTGCCTGCCCCGGGGTATCCGGGCCACCAGAACAGGGTCAGCACCGAGGCTCCTAGGAGTCGGGAGAGCTCATTGGTTCCCGGGTGAACCAATCAACGAGCGAGGCCGTGCACGGGCAGGGGAGGGCCAAGATTATAGAGGGGATGGGGTTAAAGGAAAAGGCGCAGGTATGCGAGGCACCAGGGATTTGCGCGCACTTTTGCACCCACAGGGTCATTATTAAGTCTGGAATTCTGCTCTAAATTCCCCCTTCCTAGTTCCTCAGTTTCGCAAATCTGAAATAGCAGATAATAGGGGGGAAAACGGTACTTACCCTACTATTCATAAGATGGTTATTAATAGTCAATGGAAAAGCTGCCGTGGAGCAGGGGACTGGCAATAAAATCCTCCCTCTCTCCTCTCCCCGTTCCATTCCAGGCCGTCACCCCAACTCAGTCGGTTCTTGAAATAGCAAATCACTCAAACCCTCGCTTAATCGCCAAAGCTGATTACCAAAATGCTATATTAGACATCTGGAGTAAGTTTCCCCCTCCCCAAGGACCGGGGGAAATAGTACTGGCATTTACCGAACGCGCTGCGTTTTACTACCTGCTAAAGGAGAAGCGCATGGACGCAAAGGCTGGAAGTCAGAGAAACTGAGACCTTCCGAAATGTACAAATGCACGCTGACGCGGTCGCCTTTCGGGGTCGGACACCAGCGACATCTCCAAGCCTCTGCCCCCACAAACTCTCCACGCGGGGGGATCAAAGATATTTTTGGAGGTGGGCTGAGACACCAGGTTTCCCTACTGTGTTTCAAACTTCAGCAGAGCTGTTCCACCCACTTTTTTCCAAGTGTTCTAGCCCCCGGATTCTCAGACCCGTCCAACCTTAGCTTTCCCACGGTCCAGCGCCACCACCCACTCCTCTACCACCCATACCCGGGCAGGAGACGCCGCGTCCTTGGGGATGGGGGAAGGGGGAGCGGGCAGAAGAAGGAAACGGCCAGCGCAAGTAAAGAGCTCCCCGCCGAGGCCTGGACGCCGGCAGCCCGTGGTGAGCCTTGGGGCCGAGAAGCAGGGAGAGAAGAAGGCTGGAACCGTGCGGGGAAGGGCCGCGAAGAGAGCAGGGGCGCCGCCGGTGTCGCTGCACTCACTCTGCGTAGCCAGTGGCCCAGGGCAGCCGCCGGGTCTCCTTGAGGATGAGGATGGGGCGGGCGATGTGGTCGGCGCTGCACTCCACCTCGTCCTGAGACAGACCCAGGAACTCCGGCCGCCCGTAGGGGAAACGCAGGGGCAGGTCCGAGCCTCCGCAGCCGCCGCCGCCGCCGTGCTCGGAGCCTGAGCTGCCAGCCATGATGCCGCCCATGAAATTGGCCACGGCAGATTTCACTCGAGTGAGCATATTACTCCGGCGCTCGGCTGCGGCGGTGCGAGCAGGAGGCGGCGGGGGGCGGGCGAGGCGCAGCGCGGGGCATGCAGGCTGCGGTGGGCACCGGGCGCACGGGGAGCCGGGCCGCTGGGGCGCGCCGCGCGCGGCTCCCGGAGCCTAGTGCTGCAGGGGGCCGAAGCCCGGCCTCCCGTGCTCGGTGCCGCCGTCACCCCCCGCTACACTTCCGCAGCGTAGCGGCATGGAGCGGGCCGGCCGGGCCGAGGGAGTCACCGCGCGCTCCGGGAGCGCCGGGGCGGCTGCAGCTGCAGCAGGTCCCTTCCCCGCCCCCTGCGCTCGGCTCCTGCGTGCGCGGAACTGAGCCCACCCGGCGAGCCCGCGGAGCCGCCGCGGCTGCTGCCACGGCTACCGCCGCCGTCGAGTCATGTGATTATCAGGCTGCAAGGGCTCAAGCTGCGGCGGTGGCCGTTGCTCAGCCCCTCCCCTGCCGGCCCGAGCACCGGGACCGTGACCTCCTGGGGGAGGGGGAGCCCGGCTGGGCCGTACCTGGCGTAGGGGATGGGGGCGCTGTGAGCCGGAGGCGGTACAGGTGTTGGGGGCTGTCACGTGCAGCGGGTAGCCGGGAGAAGCCAGTTGAGGAATCCAGTCCCGGAGGAATGCTGCCTTCGCCCTCCGAAAAGGAAACTTCGGGAGCTGGAGAGGAAAGGGGAGACAGGTGCAATCATGGTGGGACGGCTCCAACTCCTGCAGCGAAAACGAGCTGCCAGTTGGTGTAAGACTTTTCAGAACTAGAAAACAAAAAACCATACTGATTGCACAAGAATCATTAAAAGTTTTTCCCTAGGCATTTGTAGAATTCCTTTTCTTTGTCTTTCATTACCACCACACTCATCATTACCTATGGGAGCAAACCTGTCTCAAACCCAGACTAAGCTTACTAGGGAAGAAAACAAAACACAAAAAAAGATCTGTTAAGATATCACAAACAAGCACTACTTTACCTAGTACTTAATTGTTTAATTTATACAAGCATTTTTCTCTAACATAGCAACAAAAGTATCTTTTCAAAGCTGACCCCGTTTACTAGCGAGACACTTAATGAAGAGGTACTTTTTCTTAATTCAAAACGTTGTTATAAAATTAGCTGAGGGCACTTATAAAACTGCAGTTTAAATAGAGCATAGCAACTCAATTAAATGCTAAAGTAAAAATGAAGAAATACTTGCAAAGATAAAATATTTTTAGTGATCTTATATTAAAACAGAAAAATATCTGTAAAACACTGATGAATGTGCTTCATCAAAGGTAACATTTCTTAAATATTGTCCCCCCCCCTTTTTTAATTTTTGCAATAGGATCTGTATCCTGTTCATGTTTACTTATTCCGTATCCTGTTCCTATGTTTACCTACTATTTAATTTGCCAGGATTCTGTGTTACTTGTGCAGTTATGCACTGAACAGCTCTCTTGGAGTTCAAGAGGGAATACAGGCCTCAGTCTTCTCAGCCAGTAGGGAGGAGAGAGCTGCCCAGGTGTTGAAGGAGAAGCTAATTTCTCTGAAGAGGAACTATGAGTCAAGGAGTCCTTGCTGTTAGGGGAGGCCTAGGTAAACCTCACTGATCCCTTTTCTTCAATATCCATAATCTTCTTTAAATAGGCATTATTTTCCACTTTGACTTTTCATGAATAGGTATTCCAGTTTATTACATACGAAATACTTTTGTAAAAAATGACAATATTTCAAACTTTCAGTGAAATGCCACTACTATCAATGAGGTTTATTATTATTATCATTGCTTTTCACAGAACAGGAATGTAGTTTTATCTTGGCTCCTCTTCCCCTTCCAATTTTAAATATTGGGGCAATATTTTAAATGATGCAAAGTCTACTGTCTTCTTAACCTTTGTTTGGCTAAACTGTAAACTCCTGAATGGGGAATCTCTGATAGCTAAACATCCAACATACCACATACTCTGATATCCACTGAGTCTAATATAAGTTTAGAATCCGTTTTTCAAGCTTTTGTTGAAGAGCAGTTAACTTTTAACATTGTCTTGGATATTTCAGTAACTAAACTTCTGTGAGTTAAATTCAACATGGTCTTCCTTCATTTCACTTTATGGCAAAGCTTTAGTATTTCCTTGAAATAGGATTTTACAAAATTTCTTGTCTGACTTATTTTCAATGTAAAAGTAGTACACGATCATGGTAAATAATAAGTAAATAAAATTCAAATGTACAGAACTTTAAATGAAAAAGTAGAAGACTCCATAAGGATTCCCCAGGGGATGACTACTGTTAATATTTTCTGTAGGCTTCCAAAATTTTTCTCAAATTTTGGTAACATTAGCAAGATTTGTGAGCCAATGGTCTGTAAGAAGTTATTCTACTGTTTCTCCATAACCTTCTTACTACGTATCATGGGAAAGTGTTTGTACATCATTAGCTTTGTATAGCAAACTTTGCCCTGCAGACAGTAGAAAAACAGGAATTCTCAACCTATTCTTCCCCTTCAAATATTTCTGTGGTAAGAGATGGAGATGAGCTTTCTGATTAAAACGGGGGAGGCCATCCTTCTGAGAGGGGTTCCTAAAAATCAGTGCCTTTCACATCTATTACACTTGTAGGTTCTGGGAGTATCTGTGCTGCTAAATGCAAATGGGGCAGTGATCAGGAATTGAGAGACCCTCAATGTGTTTGTTACATTGTGTGTATGCCCCAGTTACCAGTAGATACCTTTCATTTGTCTCTCTTGTGTCCTTTTTTTCTTGGAAAATGTAAGTTTCAAGACTTTAAAGGAGCATCCATTTAGTAGATAGATACATAGACTTTAGATGCTCTTGATATCAACATAATCTCATTACGAGGCCCATAATACTATAGTGTTGACTATTAAATGATACTGTGCCACTAGGAAGACTGTTTTCAAAAGAAAAAAAAAAGCTCTGAATAATTTCTTTAGTCAATACATTAGGGATTCTTTCAAAACAGTTATTAATTACAAAAGGAAAAATAAATTACAATGGAAAAACCTGGCAGACATCACCTTAAACAAGTGATCAAGGTTAACGACACCAGTAGTAAGACATATGAACACCCTGTACCCTCTGACATGAGCCACTGCAAAAGGCACATGCCCTCTGTAGTGCTCTTTCCCCAAATCCTTAACCTCAGTATACTCATGAGAAAATATGGGTCAAACCCAAACTGAGTCTGTTCTACGAAAGACCTGACCAGGTCTTCAAAAGTGTCAAGGTTGAGAAAGACATGGAAAGACTGTGGGACCATCACAGTCTTTGGAGACAAAGGAAACACAACTACTATGTAGTACCAATGTTAATTTCTTAGTTTTGATTTTAACGCTAGGGAAGCTGGATGAAGGGCATACAAGAACAAAAGATTAACATACACACACACACACACACACACACACACACACACACAGACACCCACACACACACCAGAGGCATTTGGGGTTTAAGTAGGAAGCAAATGCTCATTTGTAAGTCAGTCCAGGAAAAAGATGAATGATGGCTTTTCAGGACTCATCCCTGCCAGAGCTTAAGATTCATGCCTCCATCCGGGTGCTAGCCTCCTTATATTGTAATTAGCAAGTTACATATGTCTTCCCATTAGACAGTGAAATCCTGCAGGGCAAGAACATTCTTATTAATCTTTGTATTTCCAGCACTTAGCCTAACTCCTAAAAAGTAATGGGATTCAGTTGGCAATTAATTCTTTTT